CACAACTGGGTCTTATGACTATGGTTTTTCTGGCCTTGTCCTCGGGAGACGTATGGCAAAATTCACCGATGCATTTAAACAATTGCTGCGACTACATATTCGACGTCCAATGCGCTATTATCATTTGTTCAATATGATATTTTAACAATCCTCACACGATAATTCGTGTACCAGTACGCCTGCATTTATTCCATTCTAATAATAGTAAAACTTGACTTTATGATTTGTTTGTAATATTATTAAATGCCCACCTTTCATCAGATCGTGAAAAAATGAAGCTTTGTCTACTAGAGATGTCATGATTACTGCTCGCAGCCAATTGTCACCCTCTTGTAACTCTTGCGACTCTTGACGTCGAATCACATTTTAAAGAAGCATGTCTCGACTTAGTAAGAATTTAAATGGTATATTTTTGAAGCACCTTCCTCATAATTTGTTGGCTTGTTGAATTCATCTCGTAGATTATTTGCAATGTGGCCGCTTCGTCTATTCTTTCTGCGCGATTGGCTCACTTTATTTGCTCAATTTGCAACATAACTGGGTCAATTTCGTCCATGTATACTAAATATCATTCTTTGAAAGATTAATGCGTCTCTGATTGTCGCAAGGTCTTCTCAAATAGTCTACTTGCTAACAATAAAATTGGTTTACACTAATAAAGCCCATTGCTGGGCTTGTCGTACAATTTACGAAGATAAATTCACTCCGTGTGGTCGCTAACATCACTGGTATTTCACCACTGTGTCCAACGGGGTATTTTGTGCACGACTTCCCGTGTATCCAGATCAGGCTGCTTAAATTGGTATTACGTTTTTTCCCTAGTTGTGACTGTTAAATTTACGCTTTTTAGTCTGCACTTGTGCTGAAAACTTAAGGAGTAAGAGTAACTTATATTGATATTGACTACAGTCTTTTACTGAATTTAAGAGATACCCTTGACCAGCACTAAAACTTGACCAGGTCATTTTACACCTGGCACCCATCTGGCTTAATCACCACCGCGTACCAGTCCTTACTCGTTTGTTTATCTCTGCCTCACCCATAATCTCCTCCTAATGGTCCAAATGACGACCTTCTTCACGTGTACCATATACCTGTCACGTCTTTAGCCTATCGGTAATTCTATTTTTCAATCAGATTAAATCGCAACGTACCTAGAGAGGTCTTTTGTGGAGAAGGGGGTCAAAGAAAGGTTAAATGTGCACCCGGTCTATGTAAGAAGTGCGGATGGGTGAATCACGTCTACCATACACTATTTGGGTCTAGATCTAGTCAGTAAGAGCCGATTCTATTCAGAAGGGGATTAAACCCGAGAGTGGATCTGGTCGTATCGGGATTCCGGTCCAAGGGTGGGTCCGATCTAAGAGAGGGTCGAATCCGAAAGTGATTACGATAGCAGAATGGATACGAGACAAGAGTTGAGCGATCCTAGATCAGATCCGAATCGAAGTCAGGTGTATGAAATAAATTTGAAGTCTAGAATGTACAAGGCACCGAATGATTCATTGAAAGACGCGTTGTGAGTACAATTTGCATAGATGGGCAAAATTATAGGATTCTTAACATGGTTGGCTAACATTAAACAGATTTTCATTTCTATTAAAAGACACGCGTCATCTGTTCCAAGCTGGATCTTTGGCCTCCCCACGAAAGAAAGTCTTGCGTCGTTGGTCTTTACAAGTTTCGCACCTGGATATTCTAGCCAGGTTTGATTAGGGATCTCACAAACATCTAGACAAGCGCGATTGGTGTCAGCAAGAAATTGAGGGTGATCAAGATCGCGAGAAGGCTCAAGTAATCAGAAGGTTTAGCAGATAAAGATCTACGTTTTGGACAAGGATATCTCGTTGAGATCTTGTTAACTCATATCGAGTTTTTACAAGTAATCTGTGATGGTATGGAGATTTTCACACGATAGTTTCGTCCCAAACAATTATTTAAGCATCGGCAAGGGCTCATGAGAAGAGTGCAGCCCGCCCAACCGGCGATTACACAAGGTGAGGAAGGCATTAAGCATAAAAACGAAATATCCCCTCCGATATTCGGTCGTCTGGTCATCAGCAGAGAGACTGAATCACATCAACAAATTTATGAGCCCCGCTCCACACCACTCTTGCATCGAAACGCACGATTGTCGATTTTATGTCATAACCAGTATTCAATTAAAATGATTTTCCATGCGGGACGTTCGGAGCTACGTATAGACAATAGTGTTCGGCAAACTCTTACTATTAACAGCCTCGGCCAGCGCCTTGTCACCCTACGACTACAGTACAGATAAAGGTAGAATTTTAAAGACATTGGGACAAGGTAGTGTCAAATGATGATTTGTAATTAATAATTTAGTTCGATATCCATTTTTGATTTTGATTTCAAACTCGATTTATAAATATATGTTTAGGTATTCTAACGTCAACGCAAATTTTTATTGAGCGCGCCAAGTAGCGACCGTTGTGATTACATCATTCCATTTACTGACCAACGAGTAGATTATATATTCTTCATGAGGATATCGCCTTGTGTTGTGAAATTACACGAGGAACATCAATTAAAATCTGTCGGTAAACTTTTTCCTGAATGAATTTATCGCTTATTTGAGTGAACCCGTAACAACCACGCTTAAACTATATAACTGAATGTATGGTGACGTCTCGTCACCACTCATTGCGCGCGTCTTGCGGCGATTGGTGGGTTAATATCATTACGATATCACCCAATGAGCAGACTCTTCGGTCGACCCATCGATATCACCACCAATGGTGATTTTGTTAAAAGAATATTCAACATAATATTCTTTATTGTCATTATCTTCTAAATGACAATTTCCCTGTAACGGGCTGCCCCGTTACATTCGGTGACTCCTTCTATCTGGGAATGATATTGTGTTATGTGAATGGTCGTATGTGCGTTACTCTGTTTGCATGGCTTGTAAAGGCATTTGTCTATGTAATGCTTGTTACGTATAGAACTGGGAAGCTACTGTCACCTTTTTTGCTTGGCGTTAGAGAGATCTTAGCCACTTTCTTCGCACCAACCAACTTCAGTCTTCGTCATATAGTGATTGTGGTCTTATAATACGATCCGGCGTCGTCACCATCCCTTCATTCATCGTCTGAACACAACAGTAATACCTGATGGATTCCTTATCACGCAACATTACTGCCACACAGCAAACAATTAATCCCTGATCCCAATCTCAATCACCGGAAATGAGATCGTGAATACCTATTTTAAAATTTGTCCTCGACGCTGAATTTTTGATATTAAAAAGGAGGCCCCGGAGCCTCCTTTTAACATTTTTCTGATTACGGTCGCACCATCTATTTCGTCGCTTACTGTAAACATGAAATATTGTACAAATCAATCGAACATTGCCTCTGCGATCTTGACTGGCACCATCTATAACGAGGCACGCTCTTACCAGATGACTGGTAAGACCTAGTGTTACCCTAACACAAAGCTGCGTGCTTCCGACGTCACGTACACGTGGCGTGAGGAAGCGCGATGAGGTAAACAGAATTTAAAAGCTCTGTTACAGGGAAAAAGTAGAACTTTAAGTAAGGTAGTTTAGTTCTTAATAAACCATCTTTGTCTTTATATAACTATACTAAACTACAATCTTATATGTGGGTTTGGATCACTACCCATTGCGCGCGTCCAGCAGCGATTTGTGGTTAATCTGGTTGATGTACCGGGTACATCAACCAAGAAATGGAACACCCAGAATATCACTCTCGGGGATAATTCTCCGCCAATATTACATCTTATCAAGCAATGTTAATTGAATATTGTCTTATGGATAATGTTTAAAAATTGATACATTCGTATCAATTATATGTAACGAAGTCACCCCGTTACACGATCCGTCTTGTGTCCGTGACTATTCGCAATCAGCGAAACGTGTAACGGCAAACTGAACCGGAAACACCACCACAAATTGGCCGCTCACGTATCAATTCTCCTTCAATATCGACGTGCCATCCGGATTTCTGTCGCTGCGTCGAGCGACGTCTGGCGGCGGCGGCAAGTCCACTGCTTTTGCCTCAAATTTTGTCGTCTTTACATTGCAACTATACGCGTTCCGCCTTCTACATTACAGTGCCATCTTTTGCAAACGCCTGCGCCCTACCCTAAAAAAGCCAGGTGGGAGAGTTTGACAAAGACTTCCTGTGACGAGACACTCACAATAAAATAAAACCGTCGTCGTGATGTAATATACAAATGCGCGAGCCAAGTATACGTATAGATTTTTGTTAGGTACGAAAGAGTACGAATCATCTGAGCATTAATACTGAGCCCTGTCATGCTTATGTACACATATTAATCGGCTTCTTCGTACTCCCCGCCGACCCACACACACACTCCATACAACTATCTGGCAACAAGAATGAGTATGACTGCAGCAGCCCAGCACCGTAAGTGTAAGCGAAGAGTGCTTCTCGCCTACTTAATCAGTCCGCGATTTCGGACGACATTTACAACCGCGGGACTGATGTTCAGCTTAAGGGAATGAGGTTGTTGCCTTCCCCGCACTTGGTTATTCGATGTAAATTGCTGATGTAGTGGTATGCAAAGTGGCTTGTCCGATGAATATTTACTACATTCGCTGCGGCTGTCCGATATTTCCAAAAACATACGAGGGCAAAGCGAACGGTTCGCGTGCTCAGAACATAAGCGAAGGAGCTGCACGACAACGGTTAGGGTCGCGATTGCAGACGGCAACAGATTCGCTCTCTCTCTCGTCTGCATATCGCGTCTGCTTGAACGACCTCTCGATTTGTACACGTAAGGCGCAGGCCAGAAACGAGACGACAATGGCCGTAGTTGGCCACCAACTACCCCCACACGGCGACAATGCAATCCCGGACCCTGCCCTCGATTGAAGCAGCCAAAGGTTCAGATGAGATCATTATGGTGCATAGCGGACGATGTGTTTGCTTTGTATTTCAAAGGCACTATCGCTAATAAATATGTAGCCGCGACGTGCGACTGCGGAACGTCTACAGCAGCTTAGGGTCGAGCACAGCCAATCGCCGCCGCACGAGGTCGAAGACGCCATTGCGACGAAAGAGGGAGCAGATCTCGTATCGGGTTTTGACCAGCAGCAGACGCTCTTGCTCGAGCGCGACCGATCGACAGTGAAGCTGCTCGAACTGATGCTCGTGACTCGCGCGCGCATCGCCCAGCACCCTCAACAGCTTCTGCTCTTCGTTGCGCTCCTCGGACATCTCCAAGAGCGCTGCTGCCACGTCGCTCACCGTGCGCACGGTACCGCCCTCGAGCTCCCGCACGAACTCGTTAATGTCCTCGATGCGGTCGTGGCAGTCGTCGATGTCGTCGCTGTAAGACTCTACCTCCTCTTGCTCGTCCTCGAGCGCCAGCTCCAGGTCGCCCAGCTCCATTTCAACCTTACGCAAGCGCATGACTGTGGCCTTGAGCACTTGCACCAGCGCGTAGTTAGTCACCTTGACGAGACGCCTCGACGTCTGCTTGTCCATCGGGGCCTGCATCTTGACGTTGAGACGGAGTTTGTTGTTGTGGGCGGGGGCAGTCGCTGACGGCTTCTTGTGGAGTGGGTGGGTGGGTGGGTATGAATGTGGGTGGGGTGGGTGATGGGTGCGCTGGTCAATATTTCAACGTTGTTTGCTCTTTGGAGGAAAACCGAAAATGAAACCAAAAGACGCGCTGCTCGTCTGGGTCCAATTCGTTGGAGTGGCGCCACGGATGGGCTGAATTCGTAACCACCCCGTCCCTCTACGTACTACTACTACATTATGAAGGGTAGGGCAGAGAAAGACTTTGCTGGCGATACAAACACAGCACGATGGACATTGAACAGATCGAAGATTTCGAAGGCTGCGGCGTCTACTGGATATTCTCCACCACGACGGACGTGATGATGGTTCGACTACCCTAACCTGTACTCTTCCTGCCAAGAGCGCCGAGGTGCTGGCGGCGTGCTGCGAACTCTCCGCTACGACAAGCGAAAAACCACTGTTGGGTCTGCATCTGATTTCTCCTGCGCGTCACAATGGTAGTGTCTGAGATTCGACTTCGAGCACTGACTATGGCCGACAAGAACGGCAGAAAAGACTGGACTTGCTCTGTATTGCATCACTATCCCGCACCGGGCGGCGGCCCGACCCATTTCTGGACCAGATAGTCTATCGCGTTTGATGACAGCTTGGGACATAAAACGGCGAATCCTCGACTGCCTGCCGAACGACCCTCACAACTTCGTGACCAGCTGCCATCCACTTCCTGCCCGATCCCTTTACTTGATCGCCTACAGGGCATGATTCGAGCGCATCGGCAGGTGCTTAATGTTTTGTCCACGGCCGACGCACTTATCGGACGGTCGGGTGCGCCATGTGGAGAGGCAGTGACCGCTCCTCTTGCGGTAGGCAACTTTGGTGACTTCCTCCTCGGCAGAAACGTGGCGATTTCGCCATATTGGACACGCACGTCACCGAAAGGCGCACGTTATGCAGCACGTTGCGACCGCCCCGAATAGGTAGGGTAGGGGCCTGTCAAAACAGAGAGTGGTTCCGATCTTCAGGATCGGGCGGCGACACGGCAACGATCGGTCGAAGGCGGGACCTTTGAGCCGTGCATGCACCTTGGGTCGGGTCCGTGCCCTCACGAGTCCTTCGCAGAGTGTCCCCGTGAAGCCCAACGTCTTAAGCTAGCAGTATGAGGCAGCCAGGAGGAGAACAATGCAGCATCACGATAGAAAGTCGAGGCAAATTTCCATGTACACACGCAAAATGCATGCTCAACGAACAGCCTGGTCCTCTCTCGCTCTCTGGTGAAGGCGGCGACCGCATAGCAGGGCGATGAACAAGACCCTTTCTGGCTCTAAGTATGGTCTGCTTTGCCAAACTTGCAGCATGTGCGTGCAGCGCACCATCACTGGCTCTGAACATGGATAGGGCACGCGTTCGCTCACCCAACCTTTAATCATACCCGCAGTGGCGCCATAGCCTCATTGCTGCGTGTTAAACTAACCATTTCGGTACATCGTTACTCTCGACCGGACGAAGTGGACACCCATCCACCTTTGCTCGCACGTTACGGTGTTTCGGTACAATTGCTGCTGCAAGGCGTAGCGCGTGCGTTCCCTTAAGCAACTTCGGATTGCTGAGCGTACAGACCGTATGTCTTCCACCATTCTTATGGACTGCAGTCTGTCTAGACTGTCACTACAGCTACATCGTTGATGCTCGTACGATGCCATGAAACGCTGCAATACACCCTGATTTCACACAAACGATCACACGCCACGCATGCGCAACGTAGCAACTCGATCGTCAAGCGGACGCGTTTCTTGAAGCAAGTGCGCCAGCTTCTTCGCTGCTTCGCCGCCGACGAAGGCTGCACAGTGAGCGTCTGCACGAGGGCGGAAGATTGGTCAGGATCCTTCGCCTTGAAGAACGGCGGAAGTCGGCAGGTTTCAAGTGGCGCATGACGCTGCATCGAAAGCAAAGCGGGCTTTGCCGGTTGCGTCATCTCATTGGTACGAGCTGCATCTGCTGGCAATCGCTTGGCTTGAACGTGCTGACGTACTGAAGCACTCATCGTATGGCGACACGGAATGGAAGGTTAGAACAGAAAACGGTGCACTGGACAACTGTAGTCACGTGCACAAAGCAGCCTGACTTATTCGAAGTACACCTAAGAATCGGCCTTCCGGTACGCTATCACGGTATGGCAGAGCAATAGACTCCACACGCGCATCTACGTGGGCTCGATCCTGACAGTTCCCAGGCCGATAGTTGCTAAGGTCAGCCCTCTCTTCATTTGTTTTAGCGTAAGAACCAATCAGGCACAATCGGCTGCGAGCAATCGCGCCCCGTTTATTCACGTTGGTGTACGCGCAATCTTCGTAGTATCAAACGGACTGACAACGTTAGCCTTCGAACGGATTCCGGGAGGCTGAGCAACAGGATAGGCGCTAAATGAGACTGCTGGAACACAATCACAACACGGTGCTGCACGCTATTGTGGTCAATATTGCTTGGATATCGGAAGTTCGCCAATTGCTTTCTAATTAAAAAGCTTGTCAAAGCGTCAATGCTAGTATGGTATGCGAACTGTTAACCGAGCTCTCTCGTCTTGCTGCTAGGTGGTACGGAGTCATTTACTATAATGATATTTTACGCAAGAAAATTGCAGATCCGTCGGCCACAATTTTATGGTGCAGTAGTATCGCATACGACGAAAAAATCAGCGCGTCGGCATGTAATGACGAGAGAGGTCAAATCGTCTATTAGAGCTACTTATCACTCGTCAGATGTCTGTTGTGTGGAAACCACCTCGGTCATCTACCATGACACGAACTTTCTCATACCACGTTCCTCATTCGGCTGGCTCGATGCTCCAGACGTCACGGGGGACACTCTCGAAAGGCCACGTAATAATGACTGTTGACCAAGTCCGGGGTTAAACTTTGTGCGCACTCTTGGCCGGATGGCTGGGCTGCGCGTCGCTTCGCGCTTCATCTGCTTCAGGGGACAGAGGACGCATGGCTAGGAGGCCTGTTCCACTTAGGAAGTCCTAGCGTGCCATCTTGACGTAATCCCTGGCCGCTTCCGTGGTGATCGACTTGCTCTGCTCTTCGGACCGATCCCATTGCACAATCTAGTGCAGACGTGCCCAGGCGCACCACGAGACGAAGAGTATCGTGGCCTGGTGCTTACTCTACATAAACGACCGGTACTAAATCTCAACAGGTCATCAGTTTCTTAGGAGAGTTCACTTCGTGGGAGTGGGCATCTCGCGCAGCGAACGAGTCGGCGCGAGGGGAGGTACTTCGTGAAAACCAGGAAATAACGAAGGCACGGGGATGCCGATCTCTGTCGTCCTTCCCCGTGCCGCAGGATGCCGGAGGATTGCTTCCCTCTCGGGTCGCCGCTGCGATGCCTCCCGTAGCACGCGCAGCGGAGAAAAGGCCTCCCCCAATTAACCTTGGCCCCACTAAGGGGGACTTCCCGTCCAAGGTAAGGGGGCCAGATGACTGACTCTTCGGAGGTCTTTGCCTCTGTCCGTTGTTGCTCGATGAGTTTGAATTGGGAAGTGCGTCGGCATTTAATGACATCAGTCTAAGGGCGAGCAAGCAGCGAGAATACCCGCGCGCTTACTCTAAATCACAATCTGCGACATCTCATCGTACGGCAAGAAGCTCCTACCATCTAGCGCGATGTGTTTGGCTACTGATTGCTTGCTTTAGCCTTGCCTGCGTTCACCAAGCGGGTCTATTTCTTCATTCGTCGTACCTATCAACATCTTCTGCTTCATTATGCAGACGTCCCGCGCTTACTCTCCTTTTGGCACAGGCGGTCAGATGAGGGCGCAATGAATCACAAATGAGCACAAAAGTACGATGTGAGAGCCGTTATCGGTCATGAGGGGTCAGCGTAAGCGTGGTCTGTTATGTGTAAAGGTCACTTACAGCGTACGTCATCAGCCACTTCATGTGAATGAAGTTTTCGCTCGAAAACGATCAGAGCTGCGCTCAAAAGTATTACAGCGCGGCCGAGCGCCATATATTGTGAATCCTGGCTCGGGGCACAATTCTGGTTTCACAGACTGTCGTAAATTATCCGGGTCTTTGTGCCTAACATTGTTTGGCACCCAAAACACCGGTGCCCCAGTCCTTCACTGCACCCTCAACATGCGCATCGATCTTCAGTAACACCTCTTCGACAAACTTGCTTCGACTTGTTCAAATTCTCGTCGAGACGTCGAGCGCTACAAGCATCAACACGATTCGAGACCTGCACAATTTGACGCAGGCAGTTTTTATCTCTTGGCGAGCTAGTCTTTGTGAAGTCACGACTGGAAGAAGGCGCTGAGATCCGTCGAAAAGGTACAAAACTTTTCGTGATATGTTCACGCGGAAACGTGCAGTACTTCGCTAAGCCACCGAAAACGCTGATATCTCCTTGGACACGTCTGCCACTACAATGAAGCTCTGTTGAGTCGTGGTGACGACGGCGTTTGGGCTGCGACCCAGCGCGATCTCCTTTATCACCAACGCATTTGACGCTTCGCAGTTATCGTCATCGACGAGCGTATCCAGCGAAATTGCTGCGCGATAATCCCACATGCAAACCTTCGCATCGTTGCCGGCAGAGAGCAGTCGATCTTGAGAACAAAAGGCGGGAAAGTGAACCTGAGAAACCATGGCTTTGTGGTGTTTTAACCGACGCACGATCTGCTTCAACCCGATATCGACAACCGCAACACTAGCATCTCCCAAACCAACCGCCAAGGACTTTCCATTAGGCGCGCAGGCGAGCGAGTGCACCAATGGCGGGTTAAACATCTGCTGGGTACCGTGTCCGTCATACTTATTTACAGTGGTGGCACAGGTGCCCACTCCATTCGCATCACTGTTGAAGTCGATACGAAACTTTACTCGACCACGAAAAAAGTCCCAAAAGAGCAAGAAACCGTCCATACCACCTGAAACTAGATCCCACGCTGCGTTTGGACGGAAAAGTGCAGCGCTGCAGATGTTGGTGTGCTGACCGCGCAGCGTCTTGAACAAGCGGTGGAGTTCGAGATCGTACACATGAATGCTGCCGGTATCGTCCGGAACCGATAGATACCTGCTGTGCTTGCCGGGGTGGCGCGATAGCACATTGATCTCGTCCTCACTTTCTTGAAAGACCTCTCGGGCCACACAATCTACAATTAGTGTCGACTGCCGCACGTCAAAAGTGAGCACCTTTCTGCTTGCTGCCACGTAGAGGTAAGCACTCTCTGCTCCTGTTGTCGCCTTCCCAAAGGCAAGCGAGTTAACAGCACTCTCGTCCTCTTCGTCAGCGGCCAGTGCCTTCTTCACGTTCAGACACTTCGTTACTCGCGCGGTTCGGACGTCCCATAGACGGCATGTGCCGTCGTCACTGCCTGATACCAGTATATTCGGGTGCACTGCCTCCTCACAGAGCAGCGCGTTGACCGACTTGCGGTGGCCACGAAACGTAAGGACACGAGAAGGCTGAGCCATGTTGATTTAGTGTCAGCCTTTCAAATGTTTACTTTTGTACGATATAATTTTACCACTTGACTTGAGCATGAACGATATTTGCCTTGAATACGACACGAACAGACAAGAGAACATCCACAAGCCAATTGAAAACTAAAACTTGACCTTTTATCCATCAGCGTCGAAAGCAGATCGTTTAATGCTTGTACATTGACACAATCCAATATCAAGCGTCGACACCAGTCCGGCACCTTACTAAAAGCGTTTGCAGCAACAGCGCTCGAAATGGATGCCCGCTGCACAATAAGCATAAAGAATGGGCTGAGTTTTGCTCCTGGAACTTCAGTCTCAAACGTGGTCAGTAAGGTAACTTGTGGCAAAAGTGTCGAACTCGTCCAAGTTCCGAAGCCGGGCCACAACTCATGATAGACCGCGCGTCGGAATTCACGGCCTTCTTATTGACGTGAGTAAACCGAATTCTTATCTACCAAATGAGCGTATTATTATAGCGCTTGGGTTATTACGACTACTTGTTGTCTGCCGAAGTGTACCTTGCCCAATGTTATAATTTACAACGCAATCATGAGTGTAACAATTGAACTCGAAAGCGTAATCGTAGGCAGATGCTAACTATATGCAATGCTAATGCTTGCGTAAGAAATGCAGTTTTGCCGGATATAAGCCTAAACCACCGAAAGCCGGATGGCGGGAACTGTAGCGATCAGTACCGGATCATCTGACGGCCCATTGCAAAGCATACACTATAGTGACCTCTCTGTTTCACAATTGTAACTGGGCAGCCCGTTACATGGAAGTGTCACTTTAAAAGAAAGTGACAACAAATAATATTAAGTGAATATTCTTTGAACAATATCACCGATAATGGTGATATTGGTGAAGCGACCAAAGGGTCTGCTCATTGGTTGATATCGTGATGATATCAACCCACGAATCGCCGCAAGACGCGGGCAATGAGTGGTGACGAGACGTCACCATACACTCAGTTATACTAACATAATTAAGTCAGGTTAAACAGAGAGACAATAGTTAAAAGACTTAATTTATTAATACAACAGTTTTACTTTTTCCTTATCCTACGC